AAAATTATTTTTTAAAAATCGTGTTTATTTTAAAGTATTGGGCTATTAATGTATATTTAGGCGTAATCTGTTTTTATTTTCTCTAATAAATTATTATTATTAAAAACAAGAAAAAGAAACTGATCATTAAAATGTAATTTAGTAATGCATATATTGTATCAACGATGTAATCATTGTATGCTTTTTCTCGAGTGGCAACACTCTTCAACACCGATGACGGTTTTTATATATAATAATTATATTGACTAATGGCTWATTATTTTGAAAATGTAATCAAATGAGAATATTGAAATAGAATTTWAAAAAAAACAAAATTAAATTTACAATAAAAATACATAAAAAACGTACAAAACGTTTAATAATTCCGTAGTTTTGGAGGATTTACATTAATAATGTAATATATGAGTGCGCGATTAATTCGATTATTATTGGTACCTAGGTACATGTTGTCATGCGTAAAAGTTATCGTATAAAATATGTTCTATATGTTTCGTCGTCGTTTGTTCTTTTTTGTGTATACGATCGTATAAAAGTGGAATTTAAAGATGAGTTTTTCAAGAATAATATCACACACCTATCTACTGATGTGGTGAATTTWAAAAAAAAGATACGATTATTAAGTTATCCTACCGGCTAAACATATATTTATGTTATTCAAATTATTAGAATGTATGGCAATCATAGTGATCATAAAATGTTAATAAAAAGTTTTAAAAATTTCAAAATTGATGAGGACAAACTTTATGCCTTAAAGATGGGCTTAATCYGTTTGAAACTTATGGCTTATATACCTACTTGTACTACGTATCGACGAAGTCTCGGCATCCTTGTCATGATACTCGAATGCTCACCGATATAATATTTAAATATTATTGTGTTTCGTTTCGATTATATTACATTGATACACTATAATACACGTACGGTAGAATGTTGTGAAATCGAGAGATTCGAAATTTGGGGGGAGGGGAGGTGATGATAGTGATTGTTTACGTTCGGTGTCGGGTGGGATACTACCGCACACGAGTATAGGTACAAAATGTTATTTGCTGCAGTTGGCATGATAATATAATACTATGATGTCAGAAAAAAAAAAGAAAAAAGAAAATAAGAAATGATAACATTTAAATATTTAATAATCGTTAGCCACTGATTTATGACTCTAAATTAACATTTTTAAAACTATTACTCGTTTGCGCACAAAGTCGTGTACATCGAAAAYCAAATTTTTCGATACAGTTTTGGGTTTACAGACCATTAATATGACATACGTCATATTATCATAGTTTCTATAATGTCATAGTCCTATTCCACACGAGACAGGATTCGTATCATAGATTGTCCGTACTCGTGATAAAGAGTTTTATTATATTAACGATTATTTTTACTCGTGGTTTCCCATCGGTTATCGGTAACTTTTTAATCGTGATTACCATAATACTCACCRAATAYTACGCGAGTCTTGAGGGACTGCAGGCTATATACAACTATGATATTTCTAATGTTACACTATTTTTGATTTTCACCAATAATTGTTAATATAATATCAATTCGTGTGTAGTAAATGTTTAAAAAATCATTACCTTACAAAAATGTTRCATATATTTTACGAATTTCCCGAAAATGTAAAGGATGAAGAGAAATTTCGTATGATTATAATAATTTTCCACTGTCGGTAATATTACTAACGCGAAAATKTTGAGCTATACACGTAATGTATACGAKACGAWATTTCTCTGAACCATTTTTTCGTAAATTACTCGCAAATGGGTTGTAACTTAACYACGCTTGACCGTGTGCGTAGGTATAAAACGAAATTTGTAAAAACGTATTATAATGCATAMTATTAAAGCCTACAACTATAAAATAMTAAATCAATGGAAATTATTGACAACACGTGTGGTCAACCCATCTGACGAAACTGTGTAAAAAAAAAACCACTATCCTTATCCATGATGGCCAACTGTTCCACCGTRCAGACCTGCAGTGGTTCTCAACTGGTGGTGTGTCGCGTATTACCGCGATGTGTGYCGCCAAACATTTTTATATTATTAACCAAACAAATCAAAGAGTTTTCGAAAGTTTCAAATCGATATTCCCGCTTTAGTCATTAATTTATGACAATATTTTTCATAAATTCTTTTATTCTGGTGTAATGTAGTGCTGCTGTTGCAAACACAAATWATTCTGTTGATGTCCGTTAGAGTGTTGGAGATGAAAATGTTTCTGTGCTTTATAATGAATCAGAACGATGCAACAGACCTTCTAAAAAATATTAAACATAACAARGGCTTAGATTATAGTGCGTATTATGCTATGTTGTATGTGTAGGTACGTATTTTTTTAAATAGTGTTTTATAATCATTTTGTAATACTGCTTAAGTTTATTTATTTTTAACGAATCCGTACCTACTTGAGTTATTATAATGTGTGTGTGTGTGTGTGTTGAAAAGTCTTTTGAAACGATAAAACCGTATACCTAATTTTTAACAGTAATTATTTTTGAGAGCAAAAACGCTGATGACGTCTGCAGTGACTGTATAAGTGGCGGCGGTATATGGCTGCAGAGTAATCTGATCGTCGAATAATTTGCTCGTTAGCAATGTTTATATAGTTCGTTCAATTTAATATAACATACTCGAGTTTTCTTAGAGGTACAATAAAAATGAACTTTGTGCCGCTTAAATAACGAACAAACAGCTAACAAGTTTGCATTCACTGCTGAATGTACGGACACTTGTATCTTCTTCGCAGCGTTCGGATTGTTTGTGTCTTGAATGTTC